CCTCCCCTCCCCTCGCCCAGGGATTAATCATTCCTGGTTATTTGATGGCATTCCTTGGGAGTTTTAAGACAATTGCTTTTCTTTGGGGAGATGTCTTAGATTAGGGGGATTTACAGAGGGAGGTCTCCCGCCCTGTGCTTGGGGCAGAAGGACAGAGTCCTGGATTCCCAGGCAGCTCTCGGGCTCCGCAGAGCAAGGTGCTGGACTTTGGGGTGTGTATGGTTTTCTGGGGTCTGATGCTGTGTTTCTTTTTCGCTATATGTGCTTCTGATTTCACGATGGCAGGCACTCTCCTGTCCTGGTTCTGTTCCCTGCGACAGCAGGTGCCCAGGAAAGATCTGCTGAATAAGGAAAGAACGCACCAACACTTGGGGCTCATCCGGGCGTCGGGCATCGGTGGGAGCTGGGAGCTGTGCTGACCACGTGACCCGATGAAGTTTCGAGGTCTGGGCCTCTGTCCCTCCTTCTGGGTCTCAGGTATTCTCGAAACAGCCCTGGGAGGAAGGGGGGACACCATCGTGTCCCAGAGGGCTTTGCACTTTGGAGAAGTTTGAACTATCAGCAAGTCATCTTGTTTCCCTTGTTAGTTGCTGTTTGTTTTTTTTTAAATGCTTTTTAAAATTTGAGATACTCAAGAATGATATTTTTTCCCTTTGGAGAACATGTGGAAGGTGGGTAGCAGAGGGCCAGGGTTTGTGGCTGATACTGGGCTTTAGATGCATTTGGAAAGGGTTTTTCTCCCTGGGGGGGTGCCCTTCAACCTGGGTGGGAGCTGTCGGCCTGACATCCTCAGCCATACCTTACCTCTGTCAGGTCAATGCCACACCCTGTAAAAAATGTCACCTCTGTCTTGTGACAGGATGGGTTGCTGCAGCTGGTAAGAAAGCAGGAAGGTGGGAAATGGGAGTGGATTTCCTTTGCTTTATCCTTTAGGGTGTCTGCAGAGTCATGGTGAGAGCATCCTGGCCCTAGTGGTGCACCTGGTCTCCGAAGCTGGCCCGGGTGTTGAGGGGAGTCTGTAGGGCACACCCCAAACTTTTAATAGCTAACAAGCTCGGAGGTAGGCTTCCCCAGTAGCATTTACACTTTTTTTTTTTTTGTACCAGGGGTTGAACTTGACCCATGAGCCACATCCCCAGCCCTATTTTGTATTTTATTTAGAAACAGGGTCTCACTGAGTTGCTGAGGGCCTCACTCAGTTGCTGAGGCTGGCTTTAGACTTGCGATCCTCCTGCCTCAGCCTCCTGAGCTGCTGGGATTACAGGCGTGTGCGCCCGGCTCCATTTACACATTTTAGGGAAGAACTCAATTGCCCTGGACTGTCTGGTTATTCTCTCCTCAAAGCTTTTACTCCAGAGTAGATGCTCAATAAACTGACCACAACTGTCATTATATCTTCTCTTCTTCTTTCTTATCCTTCTCCTCTTCCTTCTTTCCTCTTCTTCTCCTTCTTCTCTTTTTTTCATATTGGGGATTGAACCTAGGGGAGCTTTATCACTGAACTCTATCCCCAGTTCTTTTAATTTTTTAAAAATTTTCAAACAGAGCCTTGCTAAGTTGCTGAGGCTGGCCTCAAACTTGTGTACCTCCTGCCCCCAGCCTCCACAGTCTCAGAAATTACAAGTGTGTGCTACCAGGCTCAGCTATGTCATTACTTCTTTTTGGTGAAACACCTCCTGGAATTTGATTTTCCTGGTGAAAAGGGCAGTGTTTCCTAAAAAAAAAAGAAACATTTTATTTTATTATTTATTTTTAAATTGAGTACAAACCAAGACCAGGCAGACAAACTAATCTGAAAATTGTTTCCCCAGAGCTGGGGTAGTTTCTGAATCAGTATGTTTCATTCAACCAACCTTCCTGTGGCATGTCAGACCAAATGGCAAAGCAGGATAGTGCTGTGTGCACCCGGGTTGCAGATCTCCATAGCATGCATGCGTGTGTGCATGCGTATCTGATTGCGAGTACTCACAGGCCTGTGTGCACATGTGTGCACAGGGGTCCCCGGGCTGCAGTTGACTTTCTGCCTGCCCAAAGACAGAAGGTCTTGCTCCCCACTGAAATAAATGTCCATCATGCAGATTTTTTTTTTCTCCTTGTAATCCCTGAGAAGAAACTGGCCCAGGTGGAGATTTCTCTGTCCTCCCTTCAGCCTCAAATGGGCAGCCTTTTCCCAGCACCCGGGGGCCTGAGAGCAGACGGAAGCCCGGTGTGCCCTGAGGCCCAGGGAGGGAGGAACAGAGCCCTACTTTGGCCAGAGCTGCCATCAATGAACGATTTACAGTTTTCCTCCCCCTTGTTAATGGACCAAATCCAGCGTGGCCACAGGTGCCTGGGGCTCTGATCTGCTTTGTGATCACACCAGGGCCTGGGCGCAGGGGCCAGTTAGGGACTGAAGACCGATGGGGTCAGAAATGTACCTCACAAGCATGAACAGTGCACCCCTCCGTGCGCTTGCTCTGGTGCCACCACAGTTCCTTTGACCACAGCACCAGCCAGCAGTGGGGACCGGGGGAGCCTCCTGTTGGTGCCAGGACTGCAGTGGGCGGCTGGGGCAGAGGCTCTGGGGCTCAGAAGCCTGGGTGGGGAAGGGAGAGGGGTCACGTCTGAGGTCTGACTTGGGTCACACGGAGCTCCAGGCTGCTTTCTGCCTTCCCCAGCTTCTAGTGGTCTCCGTTCTCCTCCTGGTACCTTCTCCCACCTTCAAAGGCCGCACCATTGCCTCTCTGTGACTCTTCTAGAACCTTCCCTCCCTCTCCCTCCAGTTCTCCTGAATCTTCCCTCTTCCTCTCCTAAAGACTCCTTGATGGCAGGGCGCCCACCTGGGGAGCCCAGAATCCTCTCCTTATCTTAAGATCAGCTGAAGAACAGGCCAAATTCCATCTGTGCCCTTAATTCACCTTTGCTTTATTCGTCATATTTGAAGCGGTGGGTGTTTTAAGAATCATAAAAGCTAGGCAGGTGACGCACACGCCTGTAACCCCAGCTGCTCCAGAGGCTGGGGCAGGAGGATTGCGAGTTCAAAGCCAGCCTCAGCGACTCAAGGGAGGCCCTGTCTCTAAATAGAATATGAAAACGGTCTGGGGATGTGGCTCCATGGTCGAGCACTCCTGGGTTCAATTCCCAGTGTATATTTAAAAAAAGTCACTTCACCTGCCTTTTCCTTCAACTGAGGGTTTGCCAGGCTCCCCCCCCACCCCCTACCAGGCCAGGCCCCCCTGGGGGTGGGCACGGGGGTTAACAACGGAGAGAAATCCTCAGAATATGAATGGGACCTGGCTCTTCCTCTCATCCTGCCACAGCTTTTCTGGCCTTTGGGGCGAGGCTGGGTGGGGCAGGGGCGGCCTCCAAGGAAGTAGTTAGCCTTTATGGTTCCCTTGTCTTTTTATTTTATTTTTTATTGGAGTTTATGGCTATTGTTCAATGGACAGTCCTCACCCTTCTGGGCGTCTTGGCAGCTAGACTGGATGGATTCTGACCTGCAGTGGCGTGGGACTTCAGGAAGGCAGGGGTCCAGGGTGGACGACCAGGCGTCCCCCCACCTCCAGCAGCAGGGTTCTGAGGAGGTGGGCTGGTCAGGGAGGGGGGCTGCTGAGTCTTCTCCCAGGGGCAGCCGGAAGGTGGGGACAGCCCAGAGAAGGCCCACGTGGGGAACATGGGGGGGGTCCCTTACCCTGGTGGTCCGCAGGCGTCTTTGGCACGGGGAGGGAGGTGGGTACCTGGGGCTGGCCAACCTCTGTGGCATTCCTCCAGGTGTTCAGCAACAAATATGTCCCCACACCTTCTCTGGACCAGAAATCAGGTTAGGGCCTGCGAAAACAATAAGCCAAAAATAGACCTGCTTCAGACCCCGTCTGGGATGGATGTCATCCGAGGGGCTCTGCTGCCCGTTTCTTCTTGTCCATCTTATTTTTTTCTGTGTCTCTCAGAGTAATAGTAATTTCTCCATATATGTGGTTTCTTTCCAAGATTTTAGTGACCCAGGGTCAATTGTGGTCTGAAAATATTAAATGGAAACAGATATTATGAGAGGGAGGGAGGGAGGGAGGGAGGGAGAGGGAGGGAGGGAGGGAGAGAGAGAGAGAGAGAGAGAGAGAGAGAGAGAGAGAGAGAGAGAGAGAGAGAGGGAAAACTAATATAACTTTTATTACTGTATATTGTTTCAATTGTACTGTAAGGATCCGGCGAAGCGTCGGAGAAAGAGACCACAAGAGACTGTCTTCATGCAATTGGCAGAAGGGGTTTTATTGAACCAGCATGCTGAGGCTCCAGGCTCACTCAGGAAGATAAAGCAGCGCAGAGCCCAGAGCAGAAGTCAAGCAGAGCTTAAGTACACTTTTTGGGGAGGGCGGGGGAGGGCAGGGGGCTTTGCATACATCAGAACAAATCATCATGAGGCACGGGAAAATTGAACAACAACTCTGAGCCAGGATTAGTACGTTCATTGGCGGGAACAGGCTGGGCAGGGATGATTGGTCACTTCTAAGCGGGGTACACATTCAAACTGATTGGTTTTAGGGCCTAAATAACTACGTTATTAGACAACCAGGGAGTCAGTGAGAATATTTACTGGGCAGTTCAGGTATTGTCCTAACAGCTACAGGGATTACAGGTTCTGGGGGTAGCAGAGGAATTTTAACAATACCTGGTCTTTTACTTTTTAACCCAGGCCTTGCAGTTTAGAAACTTTACAATGCCCGGTCTTTTACACTTTAACTCAGGCTTTGCAGTTTAGAATCAGCTTAGAAATTTTTCCTTTACAGTACTATTATGATTATGATTATGAATTTTTTTTTTTTGGTGCTGGGGATTGAACACAGGGGCACTTAACCACTGAGCCACATTTCCAAAACTTTTTATGTTTTATTTTGACACAGGGTCTCACTGAGTTGCTTAGGGCCTCACTAAGTTGCTGAGGCTGGCTTTGAACTCTCGATCCTTCTGCCTCCTGAGCTGCTGAGATGACAGGTGCGTGCCACAGTGCCTGGCTATGTTGCCAGTTCCCAGTCTTAAATGGCTGTCTCCACCATGGGTGGGCACTGATAATTGTTCAACAACCAACTCTTCATACAGAAAAACGTGCCCACGTACAATTACGTGTGTGGTAGTGTACCTGTATCAAGGATGGGTAGCAAACTCATGTGTGTTATTTAAATAATAATAAAACGTACTGTTATAATTTGTGCATAGTCAAGTGACTCTTATAAGCACACTGTCAACCTGTTTTGACAAGTTCTTGTACAAACCAATTGATGGCTGTATTCATCCATGATTTGATGAAATTAGACTAGCAGTTCACACTTGATTAATTTCTGACTCAGCAGAAACATCTCTCATCTAATGAGCCAGTCGTGCCACATTCATGAGCACTGGTTGATATTTTCATCTATATTAATGAGAAAGAAGAAGGGAAATAAGACGAACGTATGTCACCACCTCACTCCATTGCCAATGGCGTTAGTGGCTTCTTGGCTGACTTAGGTAACGTTGTTTGAAGACTGGAAAGATATTCCCTCTGCTTTTTTGTTCTATTCACAATGTGAGGGCTATAGCCATGATGCATTTTTCTGTTTCATCTGCATTATTAACATTCTCTCCACCACTTTCTTAACAAGGTTTAGACAACCCATGCAGCAATAAGACAAGTTCAGAGTTGTGGTGTCTTGCCAATTTCTGTGGTGTAAATGCACACCCTCTGGCTGGTTTCAAGTTACTACTGGGAAATCACTCTACAGGCAAATTAGGAAGATAAATATGGTTGCATCCCAGTATATGATATGCCACTGTACGGGTGCAGTATGACTTAAAGAACTTCAAAGAACAGCAAAATGTAAACAAATAGGAACGGATGGACTTTATGTATTTATGACTTTTTTTTTGGTACCAGGGATTGAACCCAGGGGTACTTGACCCCTGAGCCACATTCCCAACCCTTTTTATTTTTTATTTAGTGACAGGGTCTCGAGAAATTGCTTAGGGCTTTGCTAAATTTCTGAGGCTGGCTTTGAACTTACAATCCTCCTGCCTCAGCCTCCTGAGTCCCTGGGATTATAGGGATGTGCCGCCATGCCCAGTTTACCTTTATATTCAACGTTAGTTGTTTACTGGGAAAGTCAAACTTTACTAATGGCTGTATTTAACAACCAGATCACAGGATTCCTGAGAGTGTGAGGACTGGCTCTTGTGAACTGGTATGAGCTGGCTTCAGCCGCTAAGCCCCTCCTCGGTTTGATTGACACCTCAAGTGGAGCAGGTCTTTATCCTTCTCTGGTTACAGTGTTTGGGGCCTGCCACGCTGGCTGGCGGCCTTCTGTCAATATGTGCTAACCAAGGAGGAACTTGCTTATCTGAGTGCTTTCTTTCCCACTACTCTGTAAGCTCCATAAGAAAAGGGCCATGGTTATACATAGTCACCTTGGAATCTTTAGTCCTTAACATGGGTCCTGGTAGATAGTAGCTGCTCAGTAAACGAATGCCACATTTAATCCCTAGCATTTAATCCCTGAAATGCTCTGTCTGGGAGCAGAGACACAACTGCCACAAGTGAAGCCGTGACAAGGAGGGTGTGTTGGTGAATCTCTGCTTACTCCTTCTTTCCCCTCTTCCCCACTCTTCCCTGGGATCAGCTCAGGTCCATCGTGTTAGCTGTCTATTGCTGCAAAACAAACCACCACACTTTTTTTTTTTTTAACACTGGGGACTGAACTGAGGGGCACTCTACCACCGAGCTGTACCCCTAGTCCTTTTTAGTTTTATTTTGAGGCAGTGTCTTGCTAAGTTGCTGAGGCTGGCCTCCAATGTGTCATCTTCCTGTCTCAGTTCAACTTCCCACGTACCTGGGAGCACAGGTGTCTACCACTGTGCCCGGCCCCTCCCTGGGTCTTCTGTTCAGTGTCCCTGACGGCTGCCATGGAGGCATTAGTTGGCTTGAACTTTTCCTGGAGGCTCAACTGGGGAAGAACTCACTTCCAAGTCCATTCATCTATGTCACTGTGTGATGGATGGAAGCTGCCACACAGATCTCTGATCCCTGTGTGTTCAAGTTTCTTTCTTTCTTTCCTTCTTTCTTTCTTTCTTTCTTTCCTTCCTTCCTTCCTTCCTTCCTTCCTTCTTTCTTTCTTTCTTTCTTTCTTTCTTTCTTTCTTCCTTCTTTCGTACTGGGGATTGAACCCAGGGTCACTTAACCCTGAACTACAT